AACTTTTCCATGTTTCCTTTATACATCGTAAAATGTGTAGTTTAACGAAGTTAGCGTCCTTCACAAATAATTTCGGAGTTTGCCGTGATTCGTTTTAGAGGGAAAAGAAAATCTGGTATTGCATTGGACCAGAACAAATGAAAATGAAACCATGACAAAACCGAAACCTTTCTACCTTAAAATATTAACTTGAAAACTTTCTCGACGAAATTCTCATCCTTTTATTTCGGTGGCCTTTGTTCAATGCTCATGTAAAAGAAATAGTAATGGCCGTAACACGGCTGTCTAACACACATGAGCTTCCAACCGAGAAACGAATTATTTATGGCGTGCACACACAAAAGTTTATCCACCACAAACCGATATACCCAAGTGAGAAAGGAGTGAACCATGTGGCTGAATCAGGCATTGTCTATTTTTAAGGGAGGGATTGGAAATTCGGTAAATCACTTTGATTTTGAATCGTATTTCTTGATTTTACTGCATCAAATCGCCTGTTTTGGAATCGTCCGATGTTGGAGACTGGTATTCAATGCTGCTGGTTCCACGAATTTTACATAGAATTCGATTTGTAAACAATTATCGTCGTTTGAGCGCATTGCCGAAAATTAATCCAAAAATTTCGAGAACTTTTCAGCCTATTTAGTTTTCAGGGCTTGACAATTCTTCCTAGAATGTTAATTACAGCAAATAAGCATGGGATAGGGCAACGGCAATGCATACCACAGACGAAGTACCGCTTATTTTGTGATAAGACATAAAAGCCATCGCAATTACTTAAAGCGTGGAATTTAATGGCAATCGTTAAAATTCATAAAAAAGCTATAAAACAGTCGCACGTGCTGGGGTCATAAACACATTGCTGGTTTTTATGAGCGAAGAAAAAAAACGTTATCTATTTCTCTGGCCATGTTCGTGCCCCGTTCAAAAGTCAAATGGAATGAATTCAACTTTCTGCATGTTTTGAATGTCAGCTTGCGGTTTTTTTTCCTTTCTCTCTGTTATCAAGGAATTTTTTCTGGTTATAATTTGTCATGATTCGAAATTCCAAAAACTCCAAACCATTTTATCAAACTTTTTCAAGCATTTGCAAATGGTCGATGTAATTAGAATTTGATGCCGAACTAAACCACCGAACACAGATAAAATCATGGCAGATTTTCAAAGTTGTTTTGTAAACAAGGTTTTGTGTACAAGGATTTTTGGCCATTATCATAAGTTTTTCCCGCTTTCTTGTTTGTGCCGAAAAACGGCAAATGACTTGAAAATGAGCGCCAACCTACGATAACAAACTTCACTTCGGTTTGATATTTATTTATGGTTGAAATAAATCTATTTGGAAGCGAAATAGAATTCCGACTGTCAATGACATATCCACAGTTCTAGCAGCATTTTTTCATTAAATTTTCGATTATAGATGTGATCTTCTTTCCTATGTTTCGTTTTCTTCAAAATTTTTATGGATTTTATCGATTCCGTTGAGCAAAGATTTCGAAGGCGAAACCAAAATCAATTTCCGCATCGAGCAAACCCAACACACAATCTTACATCAAATGACATCTACAATTGGGTCATGAAATATGTATGAGGTATGAGCTTGTGCAATGTGTCCCATCTGTTGGACTATGTTTCTTTTTTGCTCTCATTCCTCAGCAATTTTCTTTATTATTTCATGACCGTCTGCCATGACTAGATGTGACGGCCAAGACGCACAAGATGAAAAATGGTATCAAATGTATTCTCGTGCGCCAGTCAAACATTCTGTGGATTTAGTTATTGAATTTCGATTAATATTATTCATGGTCTTCAAGAGACTTAAAAGTGCTTAAATTGAAAAAGAACCATCCCTCTCGATAGTAACGGCATTCCATTGAGAGCGCCGAGCTGTGGAATTCACTTGAAAACAATTCAGTCGCCCGACCGCATTGCATTTTATTGGTTTTTTTCCAATGAAACATATCGTACGAGCTAATTTTTGTTCCTATGATAAGTTTTCCATAGCAAATACTGAGAATCTGAATCAAAACTGCGTGAATGCATGCGAAAGAAAATGCAGATTCAATTCTCACGATTACCACAATGGAAATTATTTGCTGTTGAAGTCAAAGGTTTTCCACGAGCAGCATATTTGCGGCTTCTGTTTAGCTTGGGATGCGATGAACGAGAGCAAGTAGATTTGATGCGGTTTGTAGCCACTTGTTAGCACCGCATTCAGAATATTTACTTGCGTAAAACATATAACTGTAATGAAACATATCAATCAAATGAAATGGATTCGCTGTAGCCCGGAAGATGAAAAGATGTAAATGCATTCGAATAACTTTACTTTTCGTAAATTCACGCATCACCGACTCAATGAATATTTCACTAACCGAATTCACCTCAATGTATCTCGAACTTTTGCATACACACAAAAAAAACACTGTAATTCCATTTTGCCAAGCGCACTTTGAATTCCTGAAAAACCTTATACACTATGGTATTCAAATTGTGAAATTGTGTTTTAAGTTTTTTTTTCTGCAAATTGCATTTTGGCTACGAGAAATACGAAGCCCGAGAACAATACATAATGGAAAAACTGGCTCCTACATTGCTGCATCCAGTGGATTGGAAGGTCATTTTCGTTCTATCAAAATTCAACTTTGAAAGCGAATTCTCGACTCTCTTTTTTTCGGCGTTTCCTTGATTGAATTGCGTTTGCAATGAATGAACAAAAGTAAATATTGATTACGAATGCAATGAACACAGTTCACTGATGTTCGTGCCATTTTTTCCCACGAAAAATTGAGTTTACATTTTTAATTTTCAGTTTTCAGTTTCATCGTTCGCGTTCTTGAATTGTAGGAAACAAAAATATTGAATGTATCGTGATGCGAAGCAAAAGTTGCTGTAATAATATTGTTTCCGTTTCAGAACAAAAACGCAGAGCATAAAAAAGTAGAATCGACAACACAGGCAGCCATAGCTTTTAGTGGTTTCCCTTTATTCACCATTATCCCTGACCTATTCGACAGTAATGATTATGGCATTTTTAATTGATTTCCTCTAACAATAAATCAAATTGCATAAACATACGAACTTAAAAACATCGCTAAAACCGAATTGACCGCAATATTCTTGCAATTAGTATTTCAAAGAAGAGCACACGCACACACACTGCGCACGGCTTTGATTTGAATTCACCAATGAAAATGATCAAACGAACGAAATGCACCGCTGAACTTCTATATTGACGTGAAATTTGCACTTGCACTACTGATTTCATTTTAATTGATTCAGCACTTTTTGTTCAATGTTTTCACTAAATTTCTCGATTGAATTTTTTTCTGCCAAGAATTGAAAACACACAGCTGCTGGCTGAAACTATAATCATGGTACTTTTGAATGGGTTCAACTTGATTATTGTTGCGAAATTCGGTTCGATACTCACTATCAAATTCTGACATAATTTTATTTTGCCTATAGCCACTTTTATCCCTCTCCAAATGATCGACTCTTCTGATTGAGAAGATTGCAATATGTTTTCGCTCGCTGGCACCGTTCGAAGTGAACACGAAAGTGTTGCAAATCGCAAACTAAAGTGCAATGCATGTTTTCCTATTCATTTCACCGTTTGAAACGGACTGTTTATTGCAATTTTCATCTGAGAGTTCTACAGAGAAACGCAGTTCATCGATCAGTATAGATCGTCATCATCATCGTCGTTGTCGACGATGTTGCTGCAACTTTGATTTTTGGCCGGTGTGTATTCGTTCGCCGTCACTAGTCCCACTCGGAACGTGCACGTACGACGCTCATGAAAGGCAAATAAAACGAAGAGTAATTAAAATTTGTTGCCGGAACCGTTCGGAATAAATGATGACGAGCTTAAAATTGCATACCATTCACCTCGTTCGAACGGAATGTGCATGTGTGCAGGAGCACAAAACGCACGTAAAATTACGGAATTTTTTTTCGTTTATACAGACATTCTGTGGTTTGGCAGAGTGCAACGTGTTGAGTTGAGTCGGGCGAGAAAGCAGAGGCGAAGTAGATAAATTAGTGCGATATGTGTGAATGTGCGCTGACGGCGTGCATTTCATGTTATGTTGTTCAATGTTCATGTTGTGAAAATTAAGTTATAAAAATACAAGAGGAAACCCACAGAAAGAATGTACACGTACAGTGGAACATAGCCCGTTTTTGTCTGCCACTCACCAGAGCAGTAAATGCGTTTTCGGAAAACAGTATACGAATTCACACATATTTTCTGCAAACATTTTTTGAAAAGAAACATAAACTTTTCACGACTCCACAAAACTAAATAAAAACCAAAAAAAAAAAATACCATTTCACACACACGTCAACTAGATTCATTGGGTTTTCAGCTCAAATGTGTGGTGTCATTCAACATGTTTTAATATTTACTCCATTCATTACGACAAAATGTGCCTCGTTTGTCAGAGAATCACGGAAATTTTTGCATACAAACACTTATTCTCACCAAAAATAAAAAAGACATTTTTCAACGAAGAAGAAACTATTAGTTTGACATGGAAACTTTTTCCAAGAATCATCGAACGCAACGCGGGATTTTTCGCAATAAAATTCACTACTGTTTTCATGCGCAGCTCTTGCCGTGTTTTCGTTGCAAGGCCGCAACCAAACAACATCTTAGAAGAACACCGAGCACGCATACAAACATACACAGCGAACGCTAACTAGATACATTAAAAGTTGTAAGTAAGAGCGGTTTTCAGTTGATTCATCAGGTCTACTTTTAGTCGCAATTCACTGTTCAAATCTCAAACAAACTTCAGTCATTAGGTTCTATTGGCGTATATTTTGAGCAAACAAAACTTTTTCACCAAAACAAAATTTCTTGGGTTGCCTTTTGCCAAAGCTAATTGCATTTAATCGAATCTTCATTAAATAAATCGCTAAAAATCGTGAACACATGCAAAAACAAACTACAGACATTAAGAAAAACGAAACACGGAAAAACGAATTAGTTGATTTACCGTTTGACGATGAGAAATTTACTCCAGTCCAAGCGGTTCTTATGTAATTAAAGACACGTCTATAAAACGGACGTTTGTGTCGACGATGTCGAACCCTTTTGGTAGTATGTTCGGCAGCATCTCTTTCGGCGGCAATTTGCTCAGCATCGTCGTTGTCGTCGTTGAGTACGATTTCGACATGCTGTGGCTCTTGAAGCAATTGTGATGATTCGAGCAATTGCTGCAGTGCAAAAAATATATGTTTGAGTTAGTAGAAACCAAAAAAATATATCACACATACATGAATTTCGATTGAGATCCGGCACAAAAAAAAAAAAAAATATAAATCTTTCGATTGAATTTTTCCTTTTCTGCGGAATCGTCATCAAAAAATTCATTTTTGTGCAGCACACACACGTTCGGTTTGGAATGGCAAAAGAGATTTTGCTTACTCGGCTCGGATTTGGTGCAGTCGTAATGGTCGATATTGCAATTGTGGATGTTCCGTTTCCACTGCTCGAACTGCAACCAATCGTGTTCGCGTACTGGTGCGATTGTGAATTCGGGCCACTTTGTGTCGTTGTGATAACAGTCGTTTGTGAGTGTTGAGCATTTGTTCGATTTGTTCGTAAACGTGTAGCACTGGTACCCTCATGCTGAGAGATTGTGGGTCTCTGTGCTTGTGTACCAGCCATGTTATTGGCATGTCTAATTGTATTATTTTTTTTATTTAAAAACGATATGTGTCAGTCATCATTTTTGCCGTTGGCGCTCGTGGTTTTTTCTCCTTCTTCTTCCCTCCTATAGCTACACAGACACACGCACACCATACACTACTATAAAAACAGTTTCACTGATTTCACCATTACGGTCGCAAAAGCACTAAACCACCAATTTTTATCATCCGATCGGGCTTGATTTTTATATCTCAAACAATCACGTTAAAGCCCGTTTTTATTTCGTTTTTATTGGTCTGCACCAATTGACGGAAGGGAAAGACAGAAAAAATCCTATTTCATTTTTTAATTAAAACTTTTCAATCAATTAATGCACATTGTGCTTTAGCGTGGTGGGAATTCATAACCACTGTACTAAAGTCACAAAATTGTAACTATTTTTAACGGCATATAAATCATATTTTTTATTTCTTCATTACATTTATCATGCACTATCAAGTTGCTATTACGTGTTATTGTGTTTTCAATAATAATAAAAAAAAAAGTGCTCGTAAAATCGTAACACGTGGAGTGTCGAACGATTATCGTCAAATTATTGCATCGAAATGGGACGAGACAGCAACGACACAAACAAATTTTGAATTGAAACCTCAAAAATAGATTCAATTAATCGCATGTGTGTCTGCTCCAAATTAATAATAATCACCGACGCAGATGAAATTAAAAGTGAAAACTCATCAGTTGACTGAATCGTTAATGAAAGCAACAAAATCAACGACGCAACAATTTCACTCGCAAAATTTATATTTGTTGCAGCAACGATATGATGCGAAATTGGAATCGTTCGCCTGTGTCGGATAGTGCAACAGTTAACGTTGACTTTACATCGCAATTTTGAGTGCATTCATTTTGATGGTCGATTCTAATAGCCATTTAACACGTTACATGTTCGTTTATGTTTTTGCTACAAGCTACAGCACACTTGTGTTCGGGACGAACGTAAGAATTACAGAGTGAGACAAAGATTGTACCGATGTTTTCAAGCGCTATGGCATAGACAATGTGGATTTCTTTAGTTTTGCATCAGTTCCAATGAATTCGAAATTCACATAATTTCTTCTCACTGTAATGCACCCAATTTCTCTCGTTTCGACGAACTCTTCGCTCGGTATCAGGCTCATTGTTCATATTTATGCATTGAAATTGTACTTTACATTCGTTTCGTGCACATTGATTTAAAAGCAAGCGTACATTCTGACGCCGAGCCATATGAAATACAAATGACATTCCTGCACGACACTCCTATTCTATTTATTGTGCACATCTCGTTCGTGTCGATGTTAAGTGCACTAATGCTGTGTGACAATAAAGATGCTTGAAATGTCCCTCAATTTAGATTGCACTTAGGTTCCAATTTTCAAATGCACAGCACACAATGTACGGTTGGTGTTCGAGTTCATGTTCCATTTTGCCCGCAGCTAAATGAGCTTCTCCATATCTTTGATAACAATGTTGCCAATCCGCTGGCCATTTAATTGCTTAAGATTCATTGCTAGATAATTTATATTGCATCTCTTTCAACCGTATCGTTTCCACCCTACTCCCTCCAGAAGAATCGTATTTTTTGTTCGTCATATCTTTTAATGGTTATCATTTATTTAAATCCATTGCATTTTCGTTTGCTATCCCGAATATACAATCTCGCCATAAATAACATCTTGCGTCATAAAAGATGATTTTGAGCGTTTCTAGGGCATCGCAGTTGTCAGCACAAAGTCGATTATAATTTTAAAATGAACTTTGGACATTTTTCCAAAGGAATGTCTCCTTTTCAACAGAAACCACACTGCTTCAACGTTCGCTCACTTTTGTCTCTTTGTTTACTCTTCCACTGAACACATTAACCGGACTAAGAGATTGCAAGAATTTGCGTCGAAATCGTCACCATCAAACTAATGCACGTTTCGGTTAAAACGAGACAATTGTGTGACCACTCGGAAGCGATGAGATACTTAATTCAGCAAATATCTTTCAGATCGTCAGGTAGTTAAAAAGTTAAATGGCAAATGAAAAACCAGACAAGTCATTATCAACTGTTGTGACGAAATGGTTCCACTCAAAATAAAGTCGTTATTGCTCCCATTTTTTTTATAACCGAAATGAAATTGGACGTTTATTTTTTTTTCGGTTGAACGAGCTCGCTTATAATTTGCTTTATCTCTTTTTTTGCACACCTACTTTGCCCATCGCAAGGTGCCCTTAATATTGAAGCGATTACATGGCCATAAAAGTGCTTTTAAACTGAACACGATATGAAATTCTTTATAGGAAAACAAACTTCAAAGCAATTGCTCAATATTTTCTATATCCTTTATAATGATCAATATCAACATTGTTTCAGTCGATTCATACAACACTGTTGCATCGTATTGTATAATCTGTAGAAAAAATGTAAAAACAGCCACGAAGGAAAAAATGCTCGAATCAATTGTATTTGAATGTATAATTGCAGAACCAGCTCAAAACATCGCAATAGCAATTCGATTAGTGCACAAAAAATACTGCAGAATTAAAAATGATGTTTTTAGATGTTAATATCACACAAACACAAACACACTTTAGATTTTCATGTTTTATTGATGCGGTGCAAATGCTGTCCCAAATCCAAGTATCGCCATTCTGAATCTGTGCGGAGAAAAGAGAAAAACACAAAACACAGCAATTGGTTAGTGGTGAGATTATTATCAAAAATTCAATTCAAACTATGTTAATGGAAATGTTAACAGTTTTTTAGGATCTTACACAGACACACAGCAAAAAGAAACACAAACCAAAACTACACTTAATTTTAATTGGGCGAAAAGCACATCTACCGTAATCAAAACAAATTGCAGCTTTCAAATGCTCATCAAAATGCACGCGGCAAACGAAATACTGTGAAAATGTGTTTTGTGTGTGCCTTGGGCATTTTTAAATCGACATCACAAAGTTTGAGTTTTTTTTTTTAAGTTTTAATTACAAATTGTTCGACAAAAGAATTTCCCTTGGCCGGCCGTCATTGTGTCTAGACACGAGACGAAAACAATTGAATTTCGTTTTCATTCGCTCTCGCTTTCTCGCTCTGGGATCTCGATCTGGCTGGCAAAACTCTTTTAGCTACAAAAATAACTCTTACTTCGAAAATGAAATGTAAAAGCACGCCACGACAAAGTCGCAATTGTCTTTTTGCACTCATGCCGTTTCTTTTGTAATGATACATAAATTATATGGTCTCCCTTGTTATTCACGTCAAACACTTTATCTCGTCTCTCGTTGTCTTGTTCGAATGATTTAATATCCTGCCGAGCGCATAATAATTCACTATTCGCTGCTTCGTTTCTACCATATTTTTCAAATTCATGAGTTCATTTACAACGTTTAAACCAAATGTCCGCACGACAATGTTGTGATAGAACGAAAAATAAAAACATATTCAAATTTGTATGTGTATTGATAACATTCAGTAACCACAATCGAATAACAGCACATCATTGACAAATGAAAAATATTGCGTAATTTGTTTGAGGATGAGCCGCGACACACAAATAACCAACCCGGCTAACAGAATCAACCAGCAACGGATTTGTTATTTAAACCAATGCTTTATTTTGGCAATGAAATGGATGTTCGCTGTGTGTAGTGCGTACTCTCATACCGAAATGAAACATCCATAGCAACATTAATCAATGTTCATAGACTCCAGTTGGTCGAACGTCGAAACGATTTGAAAGCGAATTAGGAATCTAGTTTGGATCGATGGGAAAGAATTAAGTGCGAAAAAAACGGCATAAATCATGTTCTCTGGCAGCAGTCACCCGAATGTGGGCGCGTGGTGCTTGTACTCGTATTTGTAATCATAACCGATGACAACTGACAGACATAAATAATTAACGAATAGCATTCATTTATGGCTGTAACCGAACCATTTCACAAAATATAAATCCGCACACTCTCTCCCTGTCGCTTTCTCTCTCTCTCTCGGCTAATGTGGAAACAATTTCTGTGTGGTTCTGTTCACTCGATTTCTTTCTTCTCTCTGGCGCTTCGATTTCGACTCGCTGCTTCACAAGTACAATTTGCATGTACTCGATATGATTGTTGGCTGCTGGTGTTGCTGACTGTTGGCATGGCATTCGCTTGTCATTATCAGACTTTCATTATAGAACATTTTTCCAAGGTTGATTGATTGATAAAGTCATTAAAATATGAAACGATATCCGCAATTGGCTTGTTTATTTGGTAAAGTTCAAGCTGAGCGAACAAGTGCTTCATTTATGGCAGGTTTCGCGCAGTGTATATACCGAAAAACGGGAGAATTGCTTTTCTGTGGTATGCTCCGCGTTTAACATCTGTAAATGAAAACACTTCAACCACTTCGAATATGTTGCCGGTACAGGGTAAACACGAGTCGAGTAGACACTTTTAATTGTTAACTTCAAGCATAAAATTTTTGACATAAACAATATTGAATACTGGCATCATCAAATATGATTTGAGTCAAAAAAGGAACCATTCGGAAATGACCACAAAAATAAAAGTTATTTAACATTTGATATGATTGATGCCAAAAGGCTCGTTTCAACTGTTATTGGTTTGTGAAGAGCTTCCCAAAAGTATTGCATTAATCCATCTTAAGAGGGAATATCCCATAAATTTCAACATTCTTTGATGCACTTTGTTCAATCATAAAACTATTTTCTTGTTCTCAATCTACTTTGTATCATGTTTCTTCGCATTTTCTACCCGGAAAAAGGTTCTTGTAATTGTTTGGCAAGAAAAAAAGTCCTCGATGTCGCATTGTAAATAACTTGTCGATAATAGTAAATTCGTTGGCAGGAAACATCTTGCAACAACAGGAAAAATCAGTTTTGTCAACCAATTTCGTGGAACATCATGTCGATGAAAAAGCGTTGCACTGGGAAGCAGAATGTCGAAACGAACGAAAGAGCGTCTCCTTTTGAGAATATCAGCAATTTTTTCTCTTTCGCTTTCTTTTTTTTTATTGTTCGTTATCCATTCAATAATAAGCTTTCAAGTAGTAAAAAAAAGATACGATTACATCAAGATGTGGCATTCATCCAATAAACAAGCCATTGTGTACACACGCGAACACAACAATGATACAATGTTCCAAATTTAATATCTTAATCTTATTGATTTCAAAAAGAAGCGAGCAAGAGCCAGAAAAAAAAAACTCAAATGGAGCTTATGCTATATGAATATTGATAGGATTTGGTTTTGTACTTGACTCACTATTTTCAATGTGCTTTGGATTGTGCTAAAGCAATAAATATTGATACTATACTGTACTGCAAAATGAACGAAAATAGATGACGAAATAAAATAATTCACGTATCGATTAAACATCCGATGTTGGATACCAGCAAAACAGCAAAGCATTATTGAATTCTCATTCAACTTGTAGCGTTCGTATAAAATGTTGAAATTCTTTGAGTTTACGTAATTGTAGCACATAAGGACTAACACGTTCTTGACGGTCTGACACTTCTATGAATGACATAGAAATGTAACGAAAGTATGATCCAAATAACGACAACACCCAAAACAATCCACATCCAAACTCCATCGTTCGACGCGATACCACCTCAAAGCTACTCACAACATGGAATCACTACAAATGGTGCAGACGACGAACAAGTACTCGACTACTATTCACCTGCCTCAATGCCATTCACATTGCGAATTCATGTTGCGAGAACGACCAACGTTTGATAGTTGATACACAAAGTTATTGTTAACTTTAGAAGCTGTTCAAGTGTCAAACACTGTTTCCATCCGGTCGGAATTGATATTAGATGGCAGTCGAAAATTCATGCACGCACAAGAATGCCGAGTTGTTGTTTTGACAGGAATCGAGCCATAATCCATACTCAACAATCGCTTTTCGAAATTGAATACGATGGAAATCATAATAAGTGCAACACGATTCCATCAGAACTGAATTTCCAGCAAATCAATGTAATGTGATAGTTTAGAATGATATCCATATCTGCATGCAACCATGAATATGGTGGAATAGCTGTGGAATACTGGCGCTAAACAACGCATGAAGATAGTTTAAAGTTAATCAGTTAAAACGAGGAAATGGAACTGTAATTCGTGACTGAGCCCAAAACACCAATTTTGTTCATACAACGAAAACTTTATGAATAATTCAAACAGGAAATTAATGTCTTACGTATCATATTAAATTTAATGTATCGATAGCCATTCGCCAAGATGAATAAATATCGGAAATTTGCTTTTTAAAGCTGGTGGGACTATAATTTGGTTGAATTAACAACTTAGTATAATTTAGTGAGATTTAAGAATTTTCAACCATTCAACCAACTAGCACACACACACACAGAGAGAGAGAGAGAGAGAGAGAAAACTTCATTCAATGGATAATGGATTTGGTGTTAATCTGTCTTACAGGTCAATTCATTTTTGTGGTAGTGAGTGGAATGCTGTTGGTTTTGTTGAAAAAGATTAATTTATTCTAGAAAAAAAATCCGTTTTCATTCAGTGAATGAACGAAACCCGATCAAAGCGCTATTCAATTGACGCAGTGCGGCCGATCCATTGAAAACGAAGTGCTTTTATCTGCTGTTGATTATAGCAACGAAATGTTTTTTTTTTCGCCGGTGCATTAAGTCGTTTTTTGTTTGCCAATGGAAAAAGAACATATTCATTAGATTACGTAGCAGTCTTTGTTTGGTTATGATTTAGCGAAATCTCAAAACATGAACAACGAACGGAAAAAAATGAAAGAATCTTTCATTTCTTGAATTGATTCCATTCAAGATTATAAATTATGATGAATGTTCGATGGTTCTGACCCTCATCTATATCATATTGAGTTTATTCATTATATATATTTTTTTTTTCTTGCTCTTTCTCTCACGTTTTTTCATTGTCATATTGAAACATTTGAGATTAGCCCAGTTTCGGTGAAATGTAGCAACGATTAATGATTTCGACGAATATCTGCTTTCGACAACAACATCAATCACTGCAACAGACCATTCGAAAGACCTTTTGAAAGAATAATGAGATTTACTCGAATGTGATTGAAACTCTGGTTGCGATTACGCTTCCATTTCACTGATGTTCTCTCGGTTTCTCATTCGCATTCTCGCTTGACTCGCAGAATCGAGTGCAGTTGGCGAAAAAAAAAAACGTGTATCAAGTTTGAAAACCCTTGAAAAGCTCCAGTTTATTTATGTTGAATTTGCGATTTATTGCATCAATGTCAATTTGGATTTTCGAAAGTCACTTTGCTATCGGACACTATAATATTAACGGTTCATGTGACATGATTACTTCACTTATACGAAAGATGCAACCGGAATGCAGCCAACGTGGCTCAAACTCGTGCTCGGGAATGTGTACACTGCACATCTGCATTCGGGGAATGCGATACAACGAAATATTTGCTGAACAAATGTCACTCATTCGATGGAATGCTTTTGAAATGTCATCGATATGCAAAATATCCAATTATACGGAATCGTTTCACCGGAAAATTTAAGTATCAGGTTGATAGGACAGCAAAGCCCATGGAATTTGTTATGCAGCGCAGCATTCGAATGTTGATGTGAAATGTTCCCGCTGGGTTCTCGAAATTGTCGCTCGGATAACGG